TGAGATGTTTCCTTTCGCATGGTTTTTGCAGGTGAATTTAAGATCATGCACAGACAATTTAAGCAGCAAATTTCAATGCAGCACAGTACCTCAGAATGGACTTCTATGGACAGATCTCCATTACTTTTAAATTCATTTTACAAAAAATATACTAAAATAACTTATACTGTACCTTCTGTTTACACTGCAAAAAAGTGATGTCTTGTTTTCCAGAACATTCACTGGAGAAGCAGAGCTATTAGGCCCGAGTCTTGTTTTATGAGAAACTGATCACAATCATGTGAGTTTACAATTAAAACCAACATATATCTGACAATGGGCTCAGAAAAATTAACTTAATTTAAAGTGAAAGCAAGTTTTCATTCTCCATTGACAGACATTTGTTCTGGTTTTAATCATAAATGCACTTCATTTTGTTCAATTTCTCAGAAAACAAGACTTCATATTTTCATTTTGCATCTCCAGTAAATGTATCTTGATTTAAGGATGTTTAGATATTGCTCCGGTTGCTTACGTAACCTGGGTTCCCTGAGATAAGGGACAAGCGTTGCGTTGATCACGCTCTGGGGAAACTCCTGTTTACTCTGATACTGAAGCCTGATTGGATCATGTTCGTGTAGCTGCGGGAACCAATGGCGCTTCAACCTGCTAAAAGTGGACAGGTGCTGAGTTTTAACTTGGTGAAGTGATTTATGTGTCGGTACTTTTTGAACATCTCCAGCACATTTTAACAATATCGCGATAATACTGATAACCGTGATAATTTTGGTCACTATAATCTTGATAGGAAATTTTCATACCGTTACATCCCTATATCAAGTCCTTCAGGCTGATTTGAAAACTACACTACTTATGAAGGTAGAATGACGTCAAAAAGATTTGCATACGCAGGGTAATATTTGTGGAAGTGTACATAAGACTGTAAGCGTAAATTAAATTTGCATGCGCAAGAGAAGCTTTGTAAAGGTGTAAATCGTGTTTCAAGCGCAAGAAAAAATTATTTGCAGCATTTTACTGTTACTCGTAAGTGTAATTCATGTATTGTGAAACTGCAGCTTCATGCTAACGCAAAATAAATATGATCTGCATGCTTCCGGAATGGTACTTTTAACGTACACATACAGTAAAAAATACATTAAAAAATAACAACTTAATTAAAACATGCTCCTTTCATAAGCTGTGTTCCTTTAGGCTAGACTCCCATGTGTTCATACTGAATTGCGAGCTGGTGTTAACATTATTTGCAACAGTTAGTTTTGTACACATACACAGACTGGTTCTATGCAGTCGATCCGTTTTGCAGTTCTTTAAACTGTTGTTTTCGCTTGCAAATCACTGTTCACAGGCTTGCAGTGCTTTTGACCGTCTTTTGGCGAAAAAAACGTGCCAAAAGTGTAAGCGCGGAAAAATGGAAGTCAGAAGCATGCAGATCATATTTATTTTGCGTTAGCATGAAGCTGCAGTTTCACAATACATGAATTACACTTACGAGTAACAGTAAAATGCTGCAAATAATTTTTTCTTGTGCTTGAAACACGATTTACACCTTTACAAAGCTTCTCTTGCGCATGCAAATTTAATTTACGCTTATATGTAATTATTACCACAAATATTACCCTGCGTATGCAAATCTTTTTGACGTAATTTTACCTTCATACTACTGTGTGTGTTGGAGCAGGATTGGAACTAAACTCTGTCAGCTCCGGCTTTAAGGAGTCCAGATCTTAAATAGATATTTAGAAAAATAAGATGTTTATGATTTCGGATGAGTGCAAAACTAACTTTTTTTTGTTTATCAGATGTTTTTGCACACAGCAGATGCTTCCCAGATGAAGCGCTCTTTAAAAGGCATCTAAACAGCTGTGACGCTGCTAAACACAAAGCGTTACGATCAGCACCTGTTTCTTCCTCCGCCGCGTCCTCCTCCTCCTCCTCCTCCTCGCGCGGCACTGACGCGTCGTTCTGCCGCCTCGCGCGCAGGCAGCGGCTGCAGTCCTGGAAGATCAACAGCCCGAGCACGTTCACCGCGAGCCCCAGCGAGCCCACGATCAGCACCAGCGGCGGGTCATCGATGGCCTGCGGCATGGCGAGCCTCTTCAGCGACTCCATGGACACAGAGAAGCAGAGCGCGGCGAGGAACACGGCGTTAGCCAGCGCGCCCACCACTTCCGCGCGGCCCATGCCGTAAGTGAAGCGCCCCGAGCCCGCGCGACGCGACACCCGCGCCGCCGTCAGCCCGACGCACAGCGACAGAATGTCCGACAGCATGTTGAACGAGTCCGACACCAGCGCGATGGAGTTGCCCATGTACCCCGCTACGATCTCCGCCACGAAGAAGATGACGGTGATGACCAGCATCAGGATCAGGCGGCACGTCTTGCCGCTGTAGCGCCCCATGATCGCGTGCGTTCAGCTCGGATGGAGATGCGCGGAGCTCTCAGTCACATCACCTGTCGGTCTCACGTCGCCGATCATGAGTTGGCACTTCTTGCACGCGCTGATGAGTCGCTTCAGGTCTCCAGTGACTCCTGCGAGGATTCTTCACACCCGAAACAGCGCGCGTCTGAGGCGGCTCCTCGCAGGATTCTTCTCATTGTCACCTTTGGACACTCATGCAGCTGGCTTTTTCTGCTGACAGACTGCGCTCTAAGGGTTAGTTAGTTCCATGCAGGTCAGCGGGGTTATTTATCCACCCAGCATTATGCGTACTGTAAACGCAGTCACACATTAAACAGCCTTTGGCACACACGAGCTCGACTTTCATCTGGATTCATAAACCTTTCTTATCTAATGAACTAAATCTTCTACTTGGCAAGATTTTTTTTTCTCCTGTCCTCAAACAAATGACAAATGAAATCTGTGCAAGCATATTCTATTAGGTGTGTTTAAATAGGCTACTATGTAGTTAATAATACAGCAATGCATTGTTGGGTAATGTACCTGTTGTGTTGATGTTGAGTTTGAAAACGCTTTTGGGGAGGGATCCGGGTGAGGTTAGGACCGCTTTGGTGATAGGGTGAGGTCAGCAGTGTGAGATGTGAGAAATTAATTACAGATGCTATTTTCAAATTCAAGTACAATGTAAAAACATGTATGTGCACAATAAGTCAAAATCAATATATTAATTTAAATGTAAGTACATTGTAGTTAAGGACATTTAATATAAAGTGGGTCCAGTAAATTAATTAATTGCATAACAGGATTTCTAAAATGTTCTGTTTCAACTTGCAAATGAGGCGTGGTCTAATTAAATATGTACTCATTTGCATACATTCCTAGAACACAGATCTGAACATTAGCTGAAGCCAGGTTTAAAACGGTTTTGTTGACACATGAGAGTTTTTGATTTCTCTTGTTATCGCTCCATAAATCAGAAAATACTGTCAACAGACAGAAAACAAACACACTTTCACCATGTTTTCAGGATGTTAAAATGCTGTATAAATCAGTGTGAATGAACTATGAACAAACCTTTAGAATATAGAGAGGAATAAACCTGTAAAGTTTGCTGTTTAAACTCTTTAAAGATTGAAATCTACTATCAGATAGATAAAGTGCAATAAAAGGAACACTTCAATGTGTATCTGGGATGTTTTCTCTCCACTAGTCTGAAAGAAGAGACTTGATGCTGAAGCAAAGCGGAGCACTGCAGGTAAAGCAGTGGTTGTGTCTGCAGTGTACGTGCACAGGGCTTGAATGACAGCGAATGCAAGATGAAACCGGTCTGTCACCTGTAGTTAGAGCTCAGGTGAGCCGTGTGAACGTGTAGCTGCAGTTACTGATCAACACTGAGCTTTACTCCATCTGCTGGAGCAGACACACTGTAACACTTCACATCAGCTAACATTCACAATCAGTGATACATTTGTGACAGATTTGACTCATCTTTATGCGAGTTAAACCTGTTCATTGCTAGCTCAAGTCAGCTCAGCTCCATTAAATAATATTCATAGATACAGCTTTTGATTTTAATCGTGTATTGGTAGATGCATAGAAATTGCAATTAAAATTAAAGAATGCTTTAGAAGTGTTTTTCAATGTTCAACACATGGAACCTTATTGTAAAGCGTCACTGATTTCTTGAAATACTAGGAAGAGAAATTCCACTTTAGGAAATGATTTATTCTTCAAGTCAGACATCAAATATAACACAATGAACCTCATGCTAAATGCACAACTGAGCTTTGGAATACAATAATGAACAGAAGCGGCTTTAATCATAGAGCAGACAGCTATAGAGCAGCAGAAACGCTCTTGCTGGTACTTTGACATCAGAAGCAAACAAACACCGAACAGAATCAGAAGCATGTGAGGAATTTGCTCAGAGTAAAAGTTCAACAAGCTGAGCTTAAATTCAGCAGAACGGAGGAGATTTAGAGACCCAACAAATCCACAAAGTCTGGAAGGAATCACAAATGAACACGAGCATCGGTGAATAATAGCACGCTGCAGATCACTGCCACACTCAGCTCTCCAACGGAACAAAAAAGGCCGTTTCTAACAAACTGGAACCACGACAGCAGAATCGTGTGATTGTGTTTACAGCGTCTGTGATCGAGGGCAGGTTGGGGGTTTTATTAGGTGGAACTTTACACGTGCGTTTGACTATAGATCACAGATTGAGGGAATGCAGCTCATCCTAAACTCCTGCTAAGAGCCTGCTCAACCAGAAAGATGTTCAGATCCGTTCAGCCTGAAACGCTGAACCTGTTTGGTCACATGACTGCAGGGTAGAGAAACCACTGCCGAATGGACGAGTTACTGAAGGACGATAAAGAAGGCTTTACAATAGTGGCTGGGAAATTTCAAATCTTTTTAAGGAAGCAAACTGAGAATTTGTGGAGAAATCTACATTATTTCAGAAGTAATTCATCATTCATAACCCCTTGTTTCCCGATGAAGGTGGCAGATGTTCTTCTAACAACAAATACTAACACAACAGATCTTACACGTGAAGCCTTCAGATGCAGTCCGTCTGAGATTTTTTCTTTTAAATTAGCTTTTTTTTATCAGGCTCCTATGTTTAGGTTCAGTCATTTCACTTTAATGGTCACGAAAAGGTTATTAGTCAGTTATTGAATGCCTTGTTTTCAAAAATGTCCAATGTTATTTTCATAGGAGCCTGATAAAAACGCTAATTTAAAAGAAAACTATCTGACGGAAGTTTTTGCATGTGAAGTCTTCATATGGAGTTACATTTGTGCCAAAAGTGTTGACTGGATTGTTCAGTGCATTTGTCCAGGTCAGCGGTTATATTATGGGTGTCATTTCTTCAGCTCAGTTTTATGCTTTACATTCTGTAATATTCTACAAACATCCAGCTAAACAAACAGAACAATAATTTTTTAAATAAGAGTTTCTAAAACTTTCAGTTGCATTAATTTTTCTGTTCTATAAATGTGAATGAATCTTTAGTCTACAGTGATCTTTTGTCATAATATTCAGCGATTTAGAAAGATGGTGAGAAACTCACTACTGAACAAATCTGCTAGTTTATCTGGATATCCAATAGCAGAAATTAAAACACAAATGAATGACAAAACAACAGCAGACAGACAGATTTTGGCACAAACTGAACTCCATACTCACATTGGAAAAATGTGTGAAACATGGGAAAAGAAACCATGAACATATGCACTTCTGTTATATTATCTGAACGGACATCCCTGCATGCGCAGAGCAGATGGTATGGTCAGTTGTTTTAGCCAATTACAGAAGAGATTGTGCATCTGAAGCTCTTGACCTGTGTGTTTATTGGTAAATCTAGAGAGTTGAAACCAGGGTTTGGCCTAACAAACACCTGAGAGTCACGGCGAGCGCTGGTTCTCAGGACGCGTCTGACGGGACGTGCTCCTCGAAGCCCTCGCTCTCGCGCACCAGCGCTCTCTCCAGGATCACGCGGCCCTCCTTGTAGCGCTGGCTGTCCTCGGTGGCGAACTCGTAGATCCAGCCCAGCTTGCTGTTGCAGTTCTTGCAGCTGACGTCTCGCACCATGTGTCTGCCGGTCAGCATCACGCGGTCCTGCACCTCGCTGTACTGCAGGTTCACCACCTGAAACACATCACAGGACGTTAACGTTAGCGCTGCATTAGCGATCGGCCTGGTGTCGCTCACGTGCCTTGTTGAAGAGGAAGGCTCGTCCGGTGGCGCCGGTGAAGCGCGTGGAGATCAGCTCGGAGCGGTTGGTCAGGATGGTGTCGCAGTTAGCGCAGGAGAACAGGCGCGTGCCGCCGATGTGATCCAAGAAGATACGGCCCATGATCCACAGACACACCTGTGAGAGCCAGAGACAGCGTTACACACACCCAGCGTTTCTGAGCAAGAGGAGAAAATAGAATGGAACCCAATACGGTCTCTAAATGTAAGTGTCTTGTATTAGAAACACATTCAAATTTAATTCAGTGTTTCTGTACAAATGTCTAAAGATTCTTAAATCAAGACACATTTATTGGAGAAGCTCAATGACACAAAATAAATCTTGTTTTCTGAGAAACTGATACGAACGAACAAATATCTGCCAATGGATTCAGAAAAATCTATTTAATTCAAAGTGAAAACAAGTTTTCATCTCTCATTAGCAGACATTTGTTCTTAAACTCACTTAATTGTGTTCAGTTTCTCAGAAAACGAGACGTAATTTCTTCACTGTGCATCTCCAGTAAATGTATCTTGATTTAAGGATGTTTAGATATTTGGAAACGACATGCTTTATGAGTTTCTGCTCCGATTTCAGAGCGTCGAAGGCCTTCATTATCGAAGAGGCGAATGGAGAGTGTTTCAGAGCCGCAGAAAGCTCTGGATCAGATCAGATCAGATCAGATCAGATCAGGAGGACAGAAGCGTCTGACGCTGCGATGTAAGAGAAGGGAAGCAGTAGAAGCTGTTGTGATGAAGCGCGTCTGCTGTGCGTTCATCTGTCCGTCGCGCAGCGTCACATTAACAGCAGACAGAAACACGCTGCAGACGCGCAGGACGAGTGAACGGCGGAATCAAAGCGAAGCTGCTGGTTAACTGGTTAGTATGAGATCAGCTCTTACCAGCCGCTTCAGATCGAGCGTTTGTTTATCCGCGTTCAGCTCGCGCTGCTGTTTTCTTTCAGCTCTTCCTCCAGACTTTATATCAACATCCGGTGCGGTGACGTGTGCGACGACGCTGTACGTGCTGGTGCGTTCATAACAAAACGTGTTACATTACTATAGAAACATTAGAATATACATACATACATACATACATACATATAATTATGAATAATAATATTATTAATTATTTTAAAAAATTATAAAAAATAATATATATATATATATATATATATATATATGACTATTAGGCATTATTATTGATTTGCTTGTCTTGTATTAGTAGGTCTACATATTGTTATGTCTGTACAGCGATCTTCAATAAAAGCTATTAAAACTTGGACTGTTTGATCGTTCTTTCTTTGGCATTGTGTTATGTTTTGTTATGTGTGAACAATTGGCTTTCTTGTGATCTTCAATCTCTGTTCTGTGTTCAGTTATTGCTTAAATTAAAAAAAGCAGTAATATAACAATGTAAAACGTTTTAGACTAGAGACTACTAGAAATGTCAATAATTCAAAAATAGTTTTTTGTTATTCATTTGATTTCTAACTATTCATATTGCTATTTGTACATTTATTTATTAATATTATGTGTGTGTGTGTGTGTGTGTCTGTGAGTGTCTGTGTGTGTGTGTGTGTCTGTGAGTGTCTGTGTGTGTGTGTGTGTCTGTGAGTGTCTGTGTGTGTGTGTGTGTCTGTGAGTGTCTGTGTGTGTGTGTGTGTCTGTGAGTGTCTGTGTGTGTGTGTGTGTCTGTGAGTGTCTGTGTGTGTGTGTGTGTCTGTGAGTGTCTGTGTGTGTGTGTGTGTCTGTGAGTGTCTGTGTGTGTGTGTGTGTCTGTGAGTGTCTGTGTGTGTGTGTGTGTCTGTGAGTGTCTGTGTGTGTGTGTGTGTCTGTGAGTGTCTGTGTGTGTGTGTGTGTCTGTGAGTGTCTGTGTGTGTGTGTGTGTCTGTGAGTGTCTGTGTGTGTGTGTGTGTCTGTGAGTGTCTGTGTGTGTGTGTGTGTCTGTGAGTGTCTGTGTGTGTGTGTGTGTCTGTGAGTGTCTGTGTGTGTGTGTGTGTCTGTGAGTGTCTGTGTGTGTGTGTGTGTCTGTGAGTGTCTGTGTGTGTGTGTGTGTCTGTGAGTGTCTGTGTGTGTGTGTGTGTCTGTGAGTGTCTGTGTGTGTGTGTGTGTCTGTGAGTGTCTGTGTGTGTGTGTGTGTCTGTGAGTGTCTGTGTGTGTGTGTGTGTCTGTGAGTGTCTGTGTGTGTGTGTGTGTCTGTGAGTGTCTGTGTGTGTGTGTGTGTCTGTGAGTGTCTGTGTGTGTGTGTGTGTCTGTGAGTGTCTGTGTGTGTGTGTGTGTCTGTGAGTGTCTGTGTGTGTGTGTGTGTCTGTGAGTGTCTGTGTGTGTGTGTGTGTCTGTGAGTGTCTGTGTGTGTGTGTGTGTCTGTGAGTGTCTGTGTGTGTGTGTGTGTCTGTGAGTGTCTGTGTGTGTGTGTGTGTCTGTGAGTGTCTGTGTGTGTGTGTGTGTCTGTGAGTGTCTGTGTGTGTGTGTGTGTCTGTGAGTGTCTGTGTGTGTGTGTGTGTCTGTGAGTGTCTGTGTGTGTGTGTGTGTCTGTGAGTGTCTGTGTGTGTGTGTGTGTCTGTGAGTGTCTGTGTGTGTGTGTGTGTCTGTGAGTGTCTGTGTGTGTGTGTGTGTCTGTGAGTGTCTGTGTGTGTGTGTGTGTCTGTGAGTGTCTGTGTGTGTGTGTGTGTCTGTGAGTGTCTGTGTGTGTGTGTGTGTCTGTGAGTGTCTGTGTGTGTGTGTGTGTCTGTGAGTGTCTGTGTGTGTGTGTGTGTCTGTGAGTGTCTGTGTGTGTGTGTGTGTCTGTGAGTGTCTGTGTGTGTGTGTGTGTCTGTGAGTGTCTGTGTGTGTGTGTGTGTCTGTGAGTGTCTGTGTGTGTGTGTGTGTCTGTGAGTGTCTGTGTGTGTGTGTGTGTCTGTGAGTGTCTGTGTGTGTGTGTGTGTCTGTGAGTGTCTGTGTGTGTGTGTGTGTCTGTGAGTGTCTGTGTGTGTGTGTGTGTCTGTGAGTGTCTGTGTGTGTGTGTGTGTCTGTGAGTGTCTGTGTGTGTGTGTGTGTCTGTGAGTGTCTGTGTGTGTGTGTGTGTCTGTGAGTGTCTGTGTGTGTGTGTGTGTCTGTGAGTGTCTGTGTGTGTGTGTGTGTCTGTGAGTGTCTGTGTGTGTGTGTGTGTCTGTGAGTGTCTGTGTGTGTGTGTGTGTCTGTGAGTGTCTGTGTGTGTGTGTGTGTCTGTGAGTGTCTGTGTGTGTGTGTGTGTGTGTCCAGCAGAGGGCGCAGCGCGGGTTCATTATGTTTATCATTAGCACTGAAGGTTAGTGGGGATTCTGCTCATCATCTTCAGCAGTATTTATCATCTCATTCGTCTCTAACAGCTTTATTCAGACGCTTTCAGTTCGAGGCTCCTCTGCGCTGTTAAATGTGTTAAATGTCCGTGTTTTAATCGGTGGTTTGTGCTGCTGATGGGGTTTTATCTGCTTTAGCTCGGTTAGCTGGACTGGCTAATAATGAGCCTCGATACCGGACAGATTAATGATCATCTTTCGTCTGAATCTGTCTGATGTCATGCGGCAGTGCGGTGTTTGTGTTGTTCTGATGATTTGAGCTGTTTGTGTGCAGAAGATGTGTTTGTAAGTTAGTGCTAATCGTGCTAACAACACTTTACTGGAGATTTATTCGCTGTTTTAATATTTTATATAATTAAAATCAAAGAGTTTCACTGAGAAAATGACTTTGATTTACGCTCATGTATCTTCAGGATGAAAACAGACATGATTTCTGATGTCCCAACAAATAGATATTTCTTAATTATGGAAATGAGTACATTATATTTTGAAAACCGAATTATTGGATGAAGCAGACTATGATCATGTATTATACAGCACATTAAAGCTACTGAGATTCTGAAATAACTCACGTAAGCCTTCATGAAATTACATATTGTTTTAAACTGGGGTGATTGACCGCGTGTCTCTATAGCTAGCCTGTCATTTAAAGGTCAGAGGTCATCCACATGTTTTCAGGAGGTCTGAAGCTTCACATGTGGGCAGCTGCTGGTGTTTTGTGTCATGATGGACTGCTGTGTTTCTCTAAATATATTCTGGCTGGTGCCTCAAGAGATATGATTATATATTTACACACTGCAGAGCCGCTCAAACTCTGATAGACGAGACACGCGTTGTGTGTGTGTGTGTGTGTGTGTGTGTGTGTGTGTGTGATGATCTGATCTAGTGTTCTTCTGTTCCTCTCACACAAAACATCAGGCCTGTTTATAGAGATTAAGATGTGCTGAAAATGTGCTCATCTGAGATTAGGATGAGTCAGATTTGTAGAAATGTAGCACTGCATCAGTGTCTCAGCAATGGATGCTCTGCAGTGAATGGGTGCCGTCAGAATGAGAGTCCAAACAGCTGATAAAAACATCACAATAATCCACAAGTAATCCACAGCACTCCAGTCCATCAGTTAACATCTGGAGAAGACAAAAGCTGAAACAAATCCAGCATTAAGACGTTTTTAACTAAAACACCATAGAGTTCATAATCCATAATAACTCTTCCTCCAGTGAAAAAGTGTTCTGGTCTGAATCAGGAGAGAAATCTGCACAGATCAAGCAGCGTTTAAACAGCTCTAAACAAATATGTGGCTAGATTTTGATGTGAGAGACAACAGCAGATGCACTTTTTCACTGGAGGAAGAGTTATTATGGATTATAGACTCGTATTTTAGTTAAAAACGTCTTAATGCTGGATTAGTTTCTTACAAACACAGCTTTTGGCTTCACAAGATGTTAATTAAAAATAATACAATTGACAATATAAAGCCAACCGCCATAATCACAAAATAAACTGGCTGATCAGGACCTGATGAATGAAATGCTGGTTTGAGTGCCGTTGAAGCGAGAATTTATACATTATATTTATTTATTTCTAAAGCACTTTATGCAGATAGTTTGAAAGCAGCTTCAGAGTAATGAACATTAATGTTGTGATATTCCGCAGTTCTGAGAGGTGTAAAGCGTCAGCAGCCGGTGTGTCTAATCGTGTGTGTGTTCCTCCTCAGCTGGACGGAGCGGTGATGGTTTAGCGCAGCGGTCAGCCGCGGCCGAGCGTGGGATGTTACGCTGGACGGTGCACCTGGAGGGCGGCCCGCGGAGGGTCAACCACGCGGCGGTGGCGGTCGGACACAAGGTGTACTCGTTCGGGGGATACTGCTCCGGAGAAGACTACGAGACCCTGAGACAGATCGACGTGCACGTCTTCAACACCGGTTAGTTTGGTTAACCGCGCTCAGCCAGCTGCTGTAGCTCAGGGTTTGAATGCATGAACTGATCAGATGTGTGTGTGTGTGTGGTTCTCTTAGAGTCTCTGCGCTGGACGAAGCTGCCGCCGGTGCGCACCGGAGGAAGGGAGCACGCTCGGGAGGTGCCCTACATGCGCTACGGACACACGGCGGTGCTGGTGGAGGAGACGGTGCTGATCTGGGGCGGCCGGAACGACACCGAGGGCGCGTGTAACGTGCTGTACGCCTTTGATGTCAGTAGGTGTCCGCAGACAAACCACACGCTTCAGTGTAATGCTGAGGGCTAAAGCCGTTGGTTTAAGCTTTCTCTTCATTATTTTACACTTGTATTGTGCTGATGCTTTACCTAATTTGGGTTTACTGGTCAAAAATGGCCAGCCTACAAACACTGCGTGTAAATCTCTGGTCATGCTGGATTATCCCCAAATCTGGGATTCAGTCAGCACAGGCTTTGTGTTTCTTTTGGAACTGATTGATCGCAGGCCTCATTGAGTTTATGCACCTCAGATTTTGAGTGAATATTGCCAAATATTATGCACAAATAATGCTTTTTTTCACTCAAAAACTGAGCTCAGATCAATGAGGCCTACTATCAGTCAGTTAAAAAAAAGAAGCACAAAACCTGTGCTAAATGAAAGAAAACAAGTTAAACGATTGAATCCAGAATTTGGTACAACAGGAAATGTCACTCATTTGTGAGTGTAACAAATTGGGGGAAAAAAAAGTTAAAAAATGATCAGATTTGTGTGAAGTTGTTCTACCCTGTCCAATGTGACCGCATTAACTAGTATTTTCAGAAAAATAAAATCCTCTCCGGGTCAAAATGACTGAAACATAACATAAGGATTAAGTTCATCTTGTCCAGGTTGTTGGATTATGGATTTACATCTAAACCATTTTTTTTATTTGGTCATAATCAGTGTTTTGTCAAATATATAATTTTTGTTAATAATTCTAGCACACTGAAGGTTCTTCGTCCCACTGCAAACATGATTTAAGTTTCACACAAGAAATACAGCCTTTTCTCTGATCATCTGCAAACCGTTTGATCAGCATCAGTCAAACATCATCCAGTAATCACTGACGTCTGATGATGAAGAGAAATCCTCCTCCAGTGATTTACAGTGATAAACATAGAGCCATGATGATCCATGTGTTACACCTCCAGACCATCAGCAGCTGGTTTGAGTGAGTCTGTGTGTGTGTGTGTGTG